CTTTACAACTGCTTAATGCAGTACTGATGTATCTAGTAGTTTAGTGAGTTTAACTAATGTCACATCTGTTTTTATTCATTTCAGATGCAGAAACTTTTGACATATGAATTCATCTTGACTAAGGGTAATGTTTTTGTTCAGAATTAATCATTATTTAAAATCATTGTATTTTCTTTGTTATTATGTACAGATTTTAAAAGAATGTACTTTCTTTTAATAAAGAACTCTTCACAGCACTGCAGCTAAACAGTCACAACCTCACAGAGCTGCACAACTGCCCCACTCAGATCAGTGTTGAAGCTGGAACCTCATCTTGTTTACAGCAAAGGCAGAGCTGAAAATTCACTGTTTGTCTTGTATTGTGTGATAAGTCATAGTTTTATTAATTTTTTTATTTTATTGCAACACTAAGTTGTCCATTCTGTGGCCAATATGATATAAATGGCCTAAAATGGGACTGACGTGATCATTGTTTTGATTTCTAGATAAGTACTCATGGGGCTACACATGCAGCTGAAGTTAGCTTCATTGAGTAGGACATTTCTTTCAGTATACTCTTAAAGAGATTCACCCAAAAATGAAAATTCTGTCATTATTGACTCATCCTTCACTTGTTCCAAATATGTCTGACTTGCTTACTTCAGTTAAACACAAAAAAATTATATTTTAAAGAAAGATGAAAACCTGCAAACATTAACTTCCATAGTATTTGTTTTTTCCTACTATGTATGTCAATGTTTTCAGCTTTCCAGCTTTCTTCAAAAAACTTCCTTCATGTTCAACACAAAGTAACTTGGAAGTTTTTAAAAAAGGTTTACAACCACTTAAAGGAGAGTAAATAGTGAACTGTTCCTTTAACCCAATCTAGTTGACTTTACTAGAAAATTGTATAGAAACCCAGTGGCTTAAACCCATTACATTTTATACAAGGTACAACTTAACAGCCATACTTGAATTAAAATATTACTGTAAGTTCAAGAAGATTGTAAAGGTTCTAGGTTAATTTAAAGTGGGCTGTTTAGTTTCACCTTGTGTAAAAACATAAAGGATTTAAGGCAACATGTTTCTATGCAGTTTTCTAATAAAGTCAACTAGTTTGGGTTAAGAGTGTAATGGGTTACAGTAATAGCAGTGAATCATGCAGGCATAAAATAAATGTTTAGCCATGTAAAGCAATAAGCTTGTTATAATTTAGAAATATTTTAGGATGAAGCACAGTATGCTGTTGTAGTTTTCATATAATTGATGAGTCAAACATGAGATGTGTTTTAAATTGCAAGACGTGAATTAACAATATGTTCATCAAGATTCAAATCTTGCATCTTATATTTTTTAAGGTTTTGGCCCAATAATACCCATATTCTGCTATTTAAAAAATCATGCTGGAATTTGTGTCAGCATTCCCTTCAATGAAAACTACAACAGTGGACATCAGTGGTGATAAAAATGTATGAGAAGGATAAGGGTGTTCATAATGAGAAGTGCAGTCACTATCCTGATCTCTGAGTTTGTAGAACTGACAGATCTGCTTGGAATAAATGGAAACATGCTGGAAATGTTTAACCTATTATACAGTTAATTCAAGAGTGCCAGGTTTAATGACACTTTACATATATAAATAAATATCACTGAACTTTCTAAATGAAACCTAACGCTCATTCTTTGTTCAGTAATGATGTTGTGCACTTCTAATACTTTACAGTGGCAAAACCTGGAATAACACATGGGAGCCCTCCAGGAATTGCTGACACTTTACGCCCAAGTCTCCTCATGCTGACCGGATTGCAATATGACAGTCTAGTCAGCATAAACACCTGGACTCACCAAGCACACTTTGGTTCTCAGTGTTTTGTAAAAATAGTTTTTGCTATTCTTCAGTAAATACTTGAATATGTTTTGAACTTATTCTACTTTTGATGTTTAAGTTCAGAAAGTTGTTATTATAAACATAATTTGCATTTGTCATGAACTTGACTTCTTGTTGTTGTGAAAGCTGTTTATTATGATGGCATTTCCAAAGGCATCATTTGAAAAGTTTTTTTGCAGTGCAGTTTTACTTGAGCTTGACATACCAGATGTATGACATGAATAAATATCACAAAATAAATATAATAATAATAATACAAAATATACATTTCCTTCAATTATAATTGTTTTTAATCATTTATATATATATGGTAATATATTATTGCATTAAAAACTTATAAAATATATATTTTTGGTTAAAATATATATTTTTGCATTTTTGTGTGATTTTTATTATTTATTTTTATTTGTGGCATTATAAATAAATTATAAATGTTTCATTAAAAATGTATTGTGTTTATTTGCATACTCATTTACAATGAACTACTATTTATACTATTTAATGGGCACTATATTTGTCATTTAAGTTTGACATATATTTATATTTGTATACCTACATGATGCAGGGTTTAGTTACAGCAAATGCTTGAAATGTTTTCAAACATGAAGCTTTTTTATTTTATTATTCGTTTCAAATTAAGTATACTGCCTATGATCTGGTTTTACTATGATCATTTTGCACATCAGGTTACCCCCACAAAGTAATCTCACGGTAAATATACATTTGTATTTTTAATAAGACAATAAATAACATGTAATATTAATACACATTTTGATATTTAAGTTATATTATAAGGTTATAATCAACCTTCAGCCGGAAGATTACCAAATAGAGACAAAGTGTGACGTAGATTGCGACGTTGTGATTGGACTATAACTTCAAAGCCAAATTAAAAGATCCTTCGTGTTGCTAACTATGTTTTGCTAACTTTGCCACTTTACTAACAGTGTCCTTTATCAATGAGTTATCGCTGTGTTTTAAATAGTTAACGATTAACCAAGATCGTAACCCTAAACTTAACCCTAACTACACCTTTCAAGGAACTACAATTTGTAGCGCCATGTCTTTCCCCTCCCATCTATACAGCGACAAAGGATTGTGGGTAATGTAGTTTAAAGCCTTTTTGTAATAAAATGGAACAGATACAAATTTTAATGAACTAAAGCCTATCTGAATAAGGTCATTGTGCATATATTTATGACATATATGAAAGCCAGGCATAAATTTGTTATTTTACAATGAGTATTTTTTAAACAGCTTTTATTGACTTGATCAGTATATATCAGACTATTATATCCAACATTATTTATTGAACATAGCATAGGTAATAGTCTTGCTGATATTCTCTCACTCATTTCTCGTTTGAAATGTGAATACTTTTTCCTTTTCTACGGGGCTCTACTCATCCCCTTTGAGTAAAAGGGCAGTTAACCTATGTAGATGTATTATCTTCAACATGGACAAGAAATTGTATTGTCACATGTACAGTTGTGGTAAAAAAAAAAAAAAGCTGTAAAAATAAGCTAAACATTAGTATCCTCTTTAATTACAAGTTATTAGCAATAGTGATCTATGTTCATCACAAATGTTATGAGTTCAGAATAATATGTGTGGATGTAATTCTGTAAGTGTGTTTCATTAATGGTCATCATGTGATATTTAATTGTTTTTACTTTATTTGAAATATGGATAAAAGCTCTTTTAAAATATGTAAATGTTTATAAATAAAACTTTTTTAAAGACATGTATTTGTTTAAAAACCACTCTTTATCTGATTATTTTTACTTTCTAAATCTTAAACTGTTTGTGTAACAGTATGTTTTGATGACAATGGATGAACTTGTGTTTAATAATGATTCCACATAATGTCTTTGTCCTGCATGTGGGTTAATTTGTTAATTATTTTCTTTATGATCAAATGGTTGTAAGATTTGCTGCATTGTAAGAATCATGAAAATATTGAGAAATGAGGTAACAATGATGAAAAGATATCCTTTCAAATGCTGCGAATAGTTCAAACCTCCAAATGATTAAAAATACATAGCCATTAACCAACAAAATAAAAATGCAAACATTTAAATTATCTAAACTAGAAGTAAAATAGTTCTGTGCTGTATTTATAAGTTACTGTGTAGTTCTATGTCTACCAAAAATACATATTTCAATACATATTTTATTTTCATTCATTCATTTTCTTTTTGGCTTAGTACCTTTATTAACCAGGGGTCGCCACAGTGCTATGAACCGCCAACTTTTCCAGCATGTTTTTATGCAGCAGATGCTCTTCCAGCCGCAATCCATCTCTTGGAAAATATTTTATTTTTTATCTTGCATTCAATAAAACATTATACAAAGTTAATTTTTATTTTCAGAATAACAACAGTCGCACTGTTATCTCACAACAAGTGCAGCAGTTTTTTGTTAGACATTCTAACAAATTAATACAAATGTTTCAAAGTAAGGACAAAAATAAAAGGAGATAAATTTTTTTTTTTTTTTAAGAAAAATCTATGAGGACCAAATAGATCCATCAGATCTTTGATGTAAATCATAGGTTAATTTTTCCAGAGGTAGAAGTGTGGTTGCCTGACTCAGCCACATATTGACTGGAGGTATCTGAGCAGTTGACCATAATAATGTACATTTTTTGCCCAAGTATATGCAAAAATTAAATTTATCATAAAAATGTATCATAAAATTAATATTTTAAAAGCTCTTAATGTCACTTAATGTAATAATTTCATTTTAATATAGAGTTCCTTAAATCGTTATATGTTGTAAGCAGTTAGGCATACAATAATGGTCTTAATTTACAACACTGATTGATTTTAGATGAATGCTTAAATACTGTACATATCTATGTATTTAAAAAAAAAAGACAATTTGGTTATAGATGATGACAATTTTATTTAATTTTTTACAGATTTTATTACATGCTTTAGATTCAGGGTTAAGGTCATCCTCTTCTGGATTACAGTAAAAGAAAATCCACAGTCAATGTCATACTCATCAGCTGGAGCTTTATTTAAAAAAAATCTATGTTCTCTGCTCCAGCCAAAACTTGCAGGTACCTTGCAGGTCTCTAGATTGCACCATCGTATTGTTGTTTATTTCTCAGTTATTTTGTTGCTTTCTGAGAATGATGATCCATAGACCTTTTAACCCCTCTTCGTTAAGGCCACATGTCGAATCTTAAAAGAAGAACACAACAACATAAAAATATATTAATATCCTTTGGACTGGGTAACCTTATGCTTATGTCTGTGCCAAAAAATACAAATACATACCAGTACATTTCAGTAGCAAACAAGCAGGAAAGTTATTTGAAAGAACCAGGATGAGTTGAAAGGTATTTATAGTGGTTGGCCATCTCTGCCACAAGAATCCACTGCTTCTCCTGAAGAATCCTGACTAGCAGGATGATGTTGAACACCCTCCTCTTTGTTGCTGGGTCAGCAGAGTCTGAAATATATTTATGAAAAGAAAGTTGTATAACAAGGATTATACGTCAACTTTTAAAGAATCAACACTGACAGAAGTCTAGTGTACATACCATGCAATATGACGAAGACATCCACATCACTTCTTCTTTTTGTTGTCTTTGCTTCTGCTACTGAAAAAAAAATGACAGTAATAGTAACACAATTTTTTATGACTACATGTAATATTAATAAGAATTTCCTCACCCTCTGCCCACTCCTCTACATCACAGACCAAAGTCTTCCAATTGGTTTCCAGTCACTGCCAGTTTCATGGATTCTGTTTTGCAACTTGCTTTGCAGAGCTGTTGCGGTCTACAATGATAAGCAATCAAAAAATCACAATACTATTTAAATAGGTTACTGAACAACTAAAACAAATTCAACTGGATATCGTTACCTTCTGATATCAACAGGTCAGCGAGATGGCCAAATTGTTGAATATCTGCTAATTCCAGCACATGACCATGAGAGTTACAGTAGCATGTCTGGTCACTGCAATCCTATAGAAGAAATATTGCACTGTTCAACCTCCTTCCCAAAAGTAAAACCAGGCATATCCTGGTATGCCTCACTCCATTTCACCTGGTTAACATATACAAACAAACAAACAAACAAATAAATAAATAAGTAAACCAATAAGTTTTGGCATTTACTTGTAGATCAGTTTAAGACAATTACATAGTTCATCTATCTCAGATATAAACTCATGTGATTAGGCATGAAACACACTAAAATCATGGGCTTAAAGATGGTGCTGAAACTTTGGGCAGCTTTTTGCAACTCTTTGGAGGTAGTGTCAATAGTTGATGTAGTCCACAAATCTTCCTGTCAATTCTTAATCCTTAGCTGTAAATAAACCTTCAAAAATGCCAGTGTTTGAAAAAGGAATGAAACAGTACAGAACAAGTGCATAACAGTTTATATCTTCTAATCTAATTTTACTAGGTGAACATCACAGAGCTGTTTTCTTGTTAATTTAGTTTCAACATATACAGTTTAAAGTACCTCGTGCATTCTTGAAATGGTTATGCTTATGGTTCATATCTACTTAAATTGGCAGTATATCTAGTGTGGAAGCAGAACAGATCAAGCTCTTCCTTGCAAATACTATCCACCTTGTATTGCACAGACTCCCACTCAAGAATATCTCAGAAAAATGTCTGCTGAGATCTTAGCAGTCCATTAAAAATAATTATACCAACATCTTTTCCACCAATGGAAAGAATATAAAAATACTTTAGGATATATTAATACTTGCATGACCAAATCTGAGATAAAAAGGCCATCAGTATGCCTTAGTTTAAATAAAACCAAAATTTTACTCTAGCCCACTGTCACCTAGGTCTACAGATACAGGGACTAATGGAAACAATGAAGTACACACTGACAGTCACTGGAGCAAGGCCCTCTCACAGTTGGGAAGATTGGAGTTCCTATGAGCTGTACCAGATAAAAACAACAAAAAAATGTACATTTATAACATTTCTAACTTATCCTAAGACTAGTAGACAAGCAGCATAAGCAGTTCTAATTTCCTAAACCCCAATGTGGGCAGTTGATGGCCTATAAGGTGTCATAAAATCAGACAAAACAAAATACTTTCTGAAAAAGAAAAAAAATGGTTGGCCACTACCAACACCCAGAACAATTAGTTTTAAACAGTTAGGCCACAATATTTTGTGAGCTTATGCTGTAGTTTTTTAATGTTTGTCATAAACAATAGTAATAGTAAAACTAATGCGTTTCTTTCTGTTATTACAATAGTAGTGAAAGAATAAATGCATTTTATCTCATACAATCACATATGCCTAAACAATGTAGATATTTAATATACATGGAATGAAAAACTTCACTAACCCTTGACTGATTCCAGAGTGGTCTTGGCCTTCCTTACATGGTGGTGCTTTCTGCAGATCACCAAGTTGTCATCAAAACTTGAGCTTATAATTGAGATCTTGATGATAAATCTGAGTATTGAGGAATCACTCATGGTGATAGGCAGAAACAGGCTGAAAGACACAAGAATTAATCAAACAAATATAAATGTGTTAACAGAGATAGAGACAAGTGCAATTTAACATATAAACATGGGTAAAGTGATTTTACTTTTTGCTTATTAGAAAACAAAATTGGATTTTTAAAGAAATCTAAAGAACCTGAAAAGAGCAAAGAAAAAATATTCATATCTGAACAGTGAACACCTTATAATGTACACCTGTATATATATATATATATATATATATATATATATATATATATATATATATATATATGTGTGTGTGTGTGTGTGTGTGTGTGTGTGTGTGTGTGTGTGGTAGATTAAGCTATTTTTTTGTTTAGTTTTGTGTTGTACAATGAATAAAATGTGCTCAGACGGGCAAAATTTCTGCCTTTTTCCTTTAAAGGCATGGAAAATAATTGTTTTTACAATAAACCTTTGGAAACACTTGATGTTCTTTAATATTAAAACAATTACGAATACATTTGTATTATTAGAGTTGCATATTGCATATTATATATAGATTTTGCACGAATTCTATTGTGGAAAACAATCTGGTTACACTGTTCCTTATCTTAAAATGTATATATTGTTCTAATGCATGACCAACGTTATATGTAAGAAAAATATGTTTTTAATAAATGAACTTGATGTAATTAGATAACGTCGCTAGTTTACAGTACATGCTTTATCAACAAATCGTGTTTATTTGTTTACTTTTTACTTACCTTGTGGAAAACCGCAGTGAACCTTGGGATCGCAATGAACCTTGGGATAGCGAGCATAGACTGTAAAAAATAGATCGCCACATACAATGACCCCAACTTTAATAAATAATTTAAAATGAAAAATATCAGCCGAAAACATTTTTAAACTAAGTACTTGAAATTTAATATTTTTTTAAAGTAAAAAAATAATAAATAATATGAATGAATCAAAGTTTTATTAGGCATAGTTACCCTAAACTGGACAACCGAATATATTTTCACTCATTAAATATAAAGTAAATGATAACATATTTATAAACACCAACTAATCTCCAATAAAAATATATTATGCAGCATTAACGTAATATTTAATGTTGACAGTTGAACTCATCTGAGAACTCACCGCTGATGCAGTTTGACCAATAGCAGAGCGGCGTTAAACTCACCGTGAAGGGATGTCACGTGGGCCGAAGTTTATTCATACAGTAGTTTCGACCCCGTTTACAGACGCTTTTCATGAACAAAATAAAAATTACATATTTTTAAAATAAGAAAACTGTGATAATAGGCGTAAATCAGGTTTTAAAAAGTTTGTTGACATCTATTGGTAATTATACGAGCCTCCAGCGTCTCCCTATGACGCCTCAGGCTCAGGCACAGATTCTATAGGGAATCCCTGCACGTCTAAATATGACGCTAAACTGTGACTGTTCAATTCAACTGTGACTGTGTGAACAATGTTGTATTTTAAAGTCATTGGCTGATTATATTATTTCAATATTAAGAATTTGTAAACAATACTTTTCTGAAATTATATTATCAAGTAGAAAGTTAAGTACGCAAATACAAAACCAACTTTAGCCCAATGCCAGTTTTAGGGAAATATAATTCCTGCACCCTGCTGACCAGTCAACAACTACGCTGGACAAAGTACGAGTCTCCATAGTTTTCTAGGTGTGAATGACATGATTTGGTATTATCAGGGGTGGACTTAACCAATAAGTGAGGAAAGCAGCCGCTTAGGGCCCTGGGGAATTAATGAGGGGCGGTGTCCTGCGAAGTTTCGTTCCAACCCAATCAGGCACACCTGGACTAGCTATTCAAGCTCTTACTAGGCTTTCTAGAAACATCTATGCAGGTGTGTTGAGACACGTTGGAGCTTAAATTGTAGGACACCTGACCTCCAGGATTTAGTTTGGACACCCCAACTGCACATGTACATAGTTTGTGAAATATTTTTTTATGTGAATTTATTACTTTTAATTTTACATTAGGAAGATAAAGGTTGCTTTAAATATTAAAAAAAAATATAAAATATACTTCAAATATGATTTAAGTTAAGAATGTTTCAGCCCTGAACAGCTTAGCTCTTCAGTATTTAGAGGGGGCTCCGGGTGTATTACCGCACCTCACATCCAATACACTTCATTAATCCTGGACAATTGATTATTCCTAGAACATAATATACCACTGTAGGTGGTAGAACATTCACAAATCTGGCACCTTAACTCTGGAACAGTCTTCCTAGCACAATTCAGGAGGCAGACACACTCTGTCAGTTTAAAACCAGAAAAAGATTAAAATTTAATATTTCGAAATACTTATCTTTACCAAACACTCTCTATGGGTAATTCCACTTTTTAAACATCTACTTTAAATAAAAATAATTTCTAATGTGATTTGTGATTGGAAAAGTGAGAAGAGCAAATCAATGATTGATGACACAAGCTATGTCTTCATGCCCAACACACTACTGCTTTCACGGAGGTTATTTACACTTTGTCTTTGGAGGGCACAGCTATTGTAAATTTACTTAGGAACTGACACTTGAAATAATATTTTTTAGTACTACAATGACATGATTTAGACTAAATTAAGTCCAAACTTTATTTAATGTACATGCCTTGCCTAGTAAACATGAATACTTTTCTTACATTGAAACAGGCTTGATTTACCCCATAATCCTAGGTTTGACATTCCTCCCAATCTGAAAGGGTAAACACAGAGCTTCCCTCATTTCAAAGTCAATATACTGAAGTGTTTTTACTTAATTTCCTTTCAGAAACAGGCCCCTGGTCAGTTCCTAGTTTGTTAGCGACTTTCCACAATAAGTTGTGCTGAAATTTCTAGTTAATAGACTTGTGTTTACAGCTCATGTGGATATTTTGACTCCTACTGCTTCAGAAATTGTATAACTACAAAATAATGCAGCTAGGGATGCTTTATTACCCCTTACAATAGTTTCCTTTCTGTAACACTTGATAATCTTTTTCCCACTACTACAATTTACATAAATTGTGTCAGTTACCAAACTGGATGAAACTTTGATAAAAATCTTACCAAAACTGGATTAAATAATCATAAGACAAAAAATAGTTAACATAAATTTGGTATTTATCTTTGTTGAAATGTTATACATAGTTTAATATTTGTGCAATTTTAATGTGTCTGAAAAAAATCAACTATAGTTGAACTACATCATTCAACCACTTTTCAGTCATTATATTTGAAAATCACTTAAACACCCACAGGAAATTATACAAGCTTTGTAATATTAATTTATGACATGAACCGTCACAAAAAAAAGGAATTTTTTGCAGATATTGACATTTTAAATCTATTTCACAATTTAAAAGAGATGCCATTATAAATCTGTTCAAGCAAATATATACAAAATGTTAGTAAGTAATATTTTAGTCAACTAATATCAAGTTTTATGGGAAGCATGTGTTTATTATAGAAAAAATGCACAAAGTCACTTTTAAATTTTTCTTTTCACAGAGCAGGACGTTTACAAAACAGTATAAGGAGATATACAAAATGGATTTTAATTGACCAAAACAGTCATTTTAAGGGCAACAACATAAAATTTACCAGCCTCAAACACACAAGTAACTTAGTCTTAATAGGCACGTTGCATGTATGTCACGGACAAAAAAAAACAGGGAGAGATTTATCAGTGTCATTGAGACTGCAGTCCTTGGAACTGAAACTGAAACATCTGCCTGTGGTGTGCCATATTGCTGCTTTAACCCATGAGATAACCACTGCAAGACAAAAACATTTAGATCTTTAGAAAAAGAGTTCTAATGTAAAAACACAATATGATTATGCTTTTATAAAATAACAACAATGCTACTTCTTAAAATATGAATAATTATAGTTTTGAAATTTAGATAATGGTGTAAAAGCTACTAAAACAGGGTTGACTTACGGCAGTTTCATTCTCATGAAGACTCTAGCCATGAAAAAGCTCAGTAACACACTGACAAAGCCAATAAAGAGCAGGAGAAAACGATTCAGCTTGGGTATATTGGGTGCATTGGAGCGGTCCAAAATTATGAAGCCAAGGCCTCCCATGGTGAAGAGAAAGCTGGAAGCCAATCCCTCCATGATGTATTGCCCATTTACCCTTTAGAAGAGAACACAATTCTTTCAGTTATTCATAAAACTACAATTACACAAATTCATCCAGCTGAATGGATCACTAAAAATACTGTTAAATTGTTCTGCAATAAAAATATTGATAAAAATCTTTGTTGGCCAACAAAACAGAGTCTAGAGTGTGTAACAAGATGCCAATTTTTGTAACAATGATGCTGCAGAGCAATATCAAGATATTGAATATTACCCTTAGCATGTTTGTATCCAATTTGCATTTGCAAATTCAAGTTAAGGTTTAAGTTATAATGTTGTTGTTTTTTGATTGGTTGTTTTTTTTTTTTTTTTTGGTAGTCAAACCTCCTTACCTGTAAAATAATTGCTTCTCTGTTAAGCTGCTTTGACACAATGTACATTGTAAAAGTGCTATTTATTATTGTAATTAATTGCTAAATAAGGTGTGACCCCAGTTTCTTGCTGTCATTGCAGCGATACCATATACTAATGTCCCAAACCAAAAATGACATCACCTCTCTGATAATTTTATGGCTTTAAACCACTTAACAAAACTGTAATTTACATGAGTTAATATGCAAAATCTGAAGCAGAAAAGTCATATATCAAATCTGAAGTCTCCTCTCCTGGTCATGAAGCACAGCTGATACACAAGCATCAAGAAGTTGCGTAGATCAAGTCAAATAAACAAATATATATATATATATATATATATATATATATATATATATATATATATATATGGTGGGTTAAGCCTATTTGGCTTATTCAGAACTCAAATGACTGTGCCAGAGGCCGTTTCTCAATTCCAAGAACGCAGAGAACAGACTTGCGTTCTTGTGGAGACCGGTCTTGCCAGGTGTCCTCGGAAGAACGAACTCACGAGAGTGCGAGGGCAGAGAACGCGTCCTTTGAGAAATGGGATGCTGCGTTCTTCCTGATGGTCATGTGACCTTTACGCGTTTTAAATGGAAATTATTTAAACATTACAGCCTTCATACAACGATTTATTGTTTTCCCTCTCTTCAAAATATATACTTTGCATAAAAACATGATAAATATACTCTGCACAATATAAATAAATCAAATTTTAATACGAATTTCAGCAAACAAACAACCCTTAATGTTTATTCCTTTATTAAGATATTTATGTTAATGTTTACTTTCACCGTTTCATTTAGGGAAACTCCTGATGTAAATAAGTAATATCTCTGAACTTTAATAATAAATCTAAATAAAATGCTGTGCTTCCCACCTCCAGTCGCAATGACTTCTGGGACTTCCAGAGCAAGTTCGGTGCTCAAGTCTGCATCAGGGCGTCCGGGAAGTTTCACACGTCCTCCGTACTTGCGGTCTTAAGTATTGGAACTGAACTTAGGTAGCTGATGATGACGTTGTACGAGAACACGAGGACGCAAGACCGCTGAAGAACGCAAATTGAGAAACAGCCAGTGTTCCCTCTAGGATTTTTTTTCCAGTTGTGACAGCAGGCCTTTTTTTACACAGATATACCAACTACCTGTGGCAATATTTCAATGACAAATGTTGTAAGCGAAGTATTAGACGTCGAGATCGTATTTATGTAATAGCCTATAAGCATGTGAATCTCTTTGCTTGCGCGCTGATTTCCTCTGCTTGTGCACAAAACTTCTTGCACGCCCCCTCAAATAAAAGTTGGTTCAAGAGCGTGCAGATCTTCTTGTGCGCTCTCAAATACACTCTGCTGAAGCACCATTTAGTGCATTTATGTAACGAGTATGTCTCAAATATTTATTAAATTGCCTAGGAATATTTATGTCTCCAATAGACCTACAGAGTAGCATTAATGCGTCCTGAAGTAAAACGGCTATATTTCGTGTTTGCTGGTCTCAAGCATCACACACCTCTCAGTCAGGCAGTCAGTCAGTCAGCACGTCACCTTAAAGAGTTAAACAAATGACGCACAGCACTACTACAGTTACAGAAAAGTTTGCGCTGTTATAATTCACTTACCTTTTAATACGTTTTGGTTCAATTATCACCCGCTATTAAAAAATAAAATGTTTTGAATGAAAAGCTGTAATGTAGCCGTGGCGGGATGAATTTTAGAAGAATGAATATTAAACAAATATTTTTAAGTATATTACTATTAAATTACTACTTATAAATGTAATATTAGGCTTTATATATATAAAATGAATCGCCCCTGAATGGTACGGTACGGTTTGGTATGCTTTTATGTAGTTTCCAATGTCAAAAGATACCAAAAAAGTGAACCATACCACTTTTGGGTACCCCTTCTAAAGGGTACCTACTAGCACTACAAAACCGTAAAAAAAGGTTGAGCTAGATTTTCAGCTAAACACTATTGGTTTATGTAGAAATGTCACTAGCGCGTGCAACAAGCCAGAAGAATGAAAACACTTGAAGCTGCATTTTTAAATACGCAGCTGGGAAATTACACCGTAATAATATATACATATATTAGCGAGCCATGGTCAACCCGAGTGCAAACAAACCTTGTCATCAGCTTGGTAAGAACAGCCACAAAGCCAAAAAGAAGAAATTCTTCTGTGTGTCCTGTTGTAGTTTTTGAAAGCCAATGTAGGCCATCTAAAAGCATGAGTGGGTTAACTTTCTCTAGAGAGCTCTATTTGCATGCCCTCACCATGCTTCTATATTTGAAATAACAAACTTGAGCTCCTAATAGTAAGGATGCGCATTATTTCACACTATCATTGCTAAATCTACATCTACAACTACATCTGCAGTTAAAATCCAATCCTGTTCATAGAAAGATTAGTAATTAACATTTATACAGAAGTACAAATGTATATAAAGCATTTGTTTAGTAAGAAGTGCTTCGGATCCGATATGTGACCTTTAAGCGAGAATGACATCAATTGCAACTTTGTCGTACACCATTCTGAACCATACTGTACCATGCCACTTAGTGGAAATGAGGCATAACAAACACTTTATGCCACATACCTGTATGCCAGAAAGGCCACTGGTCGCTGATGTCCGTGTTCATCTGTCATTGATCCAACACTCGGAGGTTCAACAATCACATCGTATATGATGCCTGAAAAAAGCAGATATATATATATATAGCAGTACACATTACATGGTCCAAAATTCAGAAACAATGTAATACCATAGTTTAAAAGATTATATACATATAGAACCAGAAACATTTCTTTACTTAGAGAAGTAAATCGAAGGCAAAACACACAAGAATGCTTATACTTAAAAAAAAATCAAATTAAAACACACACACACACACACACACACATATATATATATATGTGTGTGTGTGTGTGTGTGTGTGTGTGTGTGTGTGTGTGTATATATGCCAACGCACGCCTCCCACCAGTGCCGATATATATACAGCCATACCGCACTGCTACTCGTGTGATATTGCTCATATATATATATATATATATATATATATATATATATATATATATATATATATATATATATATATATATATATATATATATATATATATATATTATGGGTGGAGCCAAACCCAAATACGGTATTTGGAAAGACACAAATAGCATGTCTTTGCGAATACTTATTCCAAACAAATACTTGAAAAATTATTTGTATTCGGGAGCAAGAAAAACATTGTATCAAAAAGCAGCGTTTCCTCGTGAGACCACAGTGCATGCCCGCGTGAGTGAGAGAAAGAGAGAGTGAGACGCTCAGGAGTCGGAGGGCGGGGTGGAGGTAAAAGGTGTCTGGCACAGGCTTCTCCACACAGCAACAGACAGAGAAGGCTCAGCTGAGCAAAAAAATACTTCACTGCAACACTATTTTTGTTAAATAGATTTTTGTACTTTAATTGGGTTCCAGAGGCAGTTTATAAACTTGTAGCGTAGTTGAAGCGTGGTTTGATCGGGATATTCTATTACGTTGCATTTTTGACGTTTGCAATCGAGTGCTCTCTGTTTACGTAACGTTAGCTCTGTTAGCGCGGTATTTTAGACAATAGACGGTTGACAGAGTAATGTTAACGTTCGTTTATAAAGGTTAAAACGATGCTTTTGCAGTTGTGTCGAATAGTATGCACTTATGGGAGTTATATGGTACGTCTAAATTAGTTACTGTCTTTTGCAGACAGCAAGATATATGCTATAGGCTAGTTAACCTTAGCATAGCTTCCCATCATTTTTAATTAACTTGAAACACATCAAATACATTTGGGCACCCAAATAGAAAAGAGTGAGACTGCTGCTGAGCCATTTCTTGGTCCTCCACCAGTCAAAAAAAAAAAAAAAAAAAAAACAACCTTCAAGTTCTGTGTGGAAGCATTTTACAGTCAGTGGTGCTGCAGATAAAACAAATTAATTCTGTATGTAATGTGTGCAAAAGTGAAATCAGCAGAGGCAGAGATATTAAACATCTGTCAACTTCTTCTATGCATAATCATTCATTCATTTCTTTTTGGCTTAGTCCCTTTATCAATCTGGGGTTGCCACAGTGGAATGAACCACCAATTTATCCAGCATATGTTTTACGCAGTGGATGCCCTTCCAGCTGCTACCCAGCACTGGAAAACATCCATACACTCTTTTTCACACACATATAATAGGGACAATTTAGCTTACCCAATTCACCTGTATTGCATGTGTTTGGACTGTGGGGGAAACCGGGGCACCTGGAGGAAACCCATGCCAACATGGGGAGAACCCAGTCGAGGCTTGAACCACTAACCTTCTTGCTGTGAGACGACAGCGCTACTCACTGTGCCATCGCGCAACCCTCTATGTAATGTATTATCACATGCACTAAAATCATCCTCACCTGATACTGTCTGCCAACGCCCCACAAGCATCAATCCCCTCAATCAGCACAGCTATGTTCAGCTAAATCATCCACAAGCACCAAACCATCAACACAGCCACATTCTGCCCCAGCAAGTCAGTTTCAAACATTAAAAAAAAACAAACAAACAAACTTTGTGTCTGTTTTGTGGCAGGCAGATGACAATAGCAAAGCTGTATCTTTTAGTACTATATAGAATACTTTTTGTTCTGCCAGATCTCCCAGTCAGGGGTTTATATAGTTTTATTTAATTAATTTTAGTTTTTGGAATTATGTGCATTGGAAAGAAGTTCTTTAAGAAGAAGAAAAGTTCTTTGAAGTATTATTTGTTTTTATTCTGTCTATTCAGTGTCCTTCAACAAGAACGGTGGTGGTGGGACTCATAATATTCACAATGGTATTTCATTAGTTGTTGGTTTAACCATGGATGAGGTAATGGCTTCTATGTTATTTTCTTTTAAATGATGTTTCTTGTCACATGTTCAAAAACAACAACCAATATTGCATGTCTATAATTTATATAATTTATATCTATAATTATAATTTATATAATTAAACAATACTTGCACTATAACGTAAATTAGAAGTGTAATAGAAAAAATATATATTTTTACAACATTTTGAATTTTACTCAAATACAAATACTTTCCCCCCCTCAACAAATACAAATACAGATACAAATACCGGCTGCTCCGCACATCCCTTATATATATATATATATATATATATATATATATATATATATATATATATATATATATATATATATATAGTTATATTAAAGTTTTTGTATTCCATATAGCAAACAGTATGTGTGTAACACTTGTTTTTTAAATAAAAAGTCTTAAAATGTAAACAACTTTTTAAAAAAACCCATAATGTAAATAAGTTGTCTTTTAATAAGAATGTCATTAACTCAATTTTGACAAATGTCAGATAGAACCTTATAATTCTAAGGTGACGATATAAGCACCACTGACAACAAAAAGTGTGACGCATGAAAGAGTCTCAAATGTCCACCCATCACAAATTTGTACATATTTTCTTTTAAATATAATAAAATGTATTGAGGGACTATAATAAACTGAAGTTTAAGTAAAGGCTATACATTTAAAACATAACCACTTTATTTGTAAAGACAACGTTTTATAGAATATTTTAGGAAACGAAAACATTGTAAAGTATATTGAGATTTTACGTTGGAGTTAATGTATACTGTTGCAAAGATGGACACCAGCTTACATGAAAAACGATCCAGCAAAATAAAAATAAAATACAATCCAATTCATTTTTGAGCAGAGGCAGAACAGAGTTGTCTGCAGTGTGCAATATGCAAACAATTTCACATTTATGAATGCTAACAAGCACTGTCAAAGAACGTAAATCGAACAATCAATTGCCAATAAAACATTTTCTATAACTTGTTATAAACAGCAATTTAAGTCTCTGCTGCAAATATTAGTAGTGTGCGGCTGTGTGCAAACAGACAACATGCTAAAGTTTAACGTAAGCTAATGGCTAGTTTCGCCTGGATTGATTTCAAGACTCTTACCACCGGTGATGAGAAAGTATGAAACAATCACGACGGCATACACGGTCATCGCAGAAGGCATATGCAGCCACGATGGTTTTTTAAGTTTGACATTTGGGCATTCCAATACAGTAAATGGTAAGCTGAAGATAGTCTCCATGGTTTAGCATGTAATTCAGAACTGAGCACTGCTGCTTTTGCCCGGTTTATGCATACGTCACACTAGCCGTAGAGCGACGTGTACAGGAAGAGGCCTTGAAGTTCCTATAAGCGTAGGGATACAGCTGCGGCAGGAAGTAAACGATAGTTATTTATAAATTTGTATTTTATTAGTGTCTACCCTTACTCTAACCCTCGCAGTACTAATAAAATATTATTTAATGTTGTACAGTGTCACAGTATGCGCCTATCAGCAGATGCAAAATATCTTATCCTGCAATACCAGAGTCTAGCATGATGTGGCGTGCAAGGACCTCTTTTAAGCTGAACAGTGATGAAATGTAACCCATCCATGGGCGAATTTAAATGTTATTTTTTATTAAATAATCCACGTGTATCTTGAATAAACTTCCTTACTTTTATACTCTTCATCCTGCATTTAAAAGATTTCTTCATAATTTCATTTTAATCGTGAAAATCAATAAAAGTTATTAAAACTACTACTACTATTTATTAATATTATTAAATCAAATGTTAATCGAATGTTAATTATATATATATATATATATATATATATATATATATATATATATATATATATATATATATATATATATATATATATATATATATATATAATTTTCTTTTCAGCTTAGTCCCTTTATTAATCAGGGGTCACTACAGTGGAATGAACCACCAACCACAAAGCGAATATCATTCCAGCCGCAACCCATCACTGAGAAATATTATTGAGTTGTTGTTATTAATATTAAATATTAAACTTTAGCTAGACTTGGACTTTGATTTCAATGTATGAATTTTCTCAAGTTTATAAAATGAGTACCTGCAATTAATAATAAAAAAGATATACAAAAATAATTGTTATACCTCATGCATAGGACACGTTTTTACTCACATTTGCTTTGCCCCCCTTTTTATTTCTATTTTCCACATATATTTCAAATATATATTTATCTTTTTTTTTAATGATTGTTATTTATTTTTTATTTCCACATTATTTATGTGGGACTCAGTGGGAGTGTTTTTAGTTAGAAATCGCGATCGAGCCAGAGGGGAGGGGTAAATTTGTATAGACCGCAGTGACACCTTGTGGTGCCTAAATAGATTTTTCTATTTTTTATTATCTTCCTAATTGCATGTATACTGTGACATGGCCTTAAAATATCTTCTGGTCAGGATCAAATCATCATTGGATCATGGATGGCAAACATTATCATTCTACAGAAGCATTTTTGTCCCTAAACTTACAATATTACACTGAATCTTTACGTTTACAACTTCTTATTCTTTGAAATAAAACAATGTGTTATTTGAACATTGAGTCGTCAATGTAACAATAAATATGTTTTAATTATTTCTGTAAAATTCCAAGCACCACAAACTGTTTACCTATCCCTACAGTGCAGGGCCGGCGCGTCAGCGACACTACCCTCACCACCTGTCCTGCGCCCTCAGTTATTTCCACGACTAATAGAGAGCGCGGTGTCTGCGGGCGCCTTACCACCCGCGCCCTCCGTTATATACACGGCTAGGGCGGCGGAATAGAGAGGGTTAGTTGAGGGCGGCATGACCGTCCTTTGCCTAGAGCGGCAGATTTTCAGATTTATAATCTAAAAAAAGAAAATACCATGATTTCATGTGAATCGTTTAATTGGTGTCACTGGTGTGACTGCCTTTATTTTTAAGGAATAGTAAAAAAATCTTAATTTAGTGAGTATATCATGATTATCAAGATTGGATACTTTCCGGCAGAAATTTTGTAAAATGCAAAGTTAACAAAATTTGTCACTGGTGTTTCTTTTCTGATGATCATTGTGTTTCTCTGCTCCCTCTGCATCTGTGCAAAAAAAAAAAGAAAAAGAAAAAGAAAAGAAAAGAAAGTAGGGAATTTCTAAATTTACTTTGACCTGTATTTCTTTGCAGACAATGCAACAAACATTATTTGTTGCTCATGTTTTTATATATATATATATATATATATATATATATATATATATATATATATATATATATATATATATATATATATATACATATATAATTTATTTATTTATTTATTTATTTTTTAAATAAACATAGCCTCATCAGTCTTGCACAGCAGTGCATATGTTACAGCTAAGTTTGTCTATAAAGTAGTGTGTTATTATGTTTCAATTAACTGTCTGTATATTTAAACATGTAAATAATTAAACAACTTTTCCTGCTTTAAGGATTTGAGATTCTTTCTCTATGTCAATGATAATAACAATTTAATGGAGTCAGATTAATTGTACCAGTGAATACCAGTGAAGTGGACACTGATGAATTTGACCTGTTAAAATTCAAATGGCTGCAGAGCTAGAAATCACCAAAAGTGTCTATCTAACCTAACAAGGCACTTCTCAGTGTTTAGCCTCTAAAACTTTGTCAAAGCAAATAATATTAAAGGGTCCAAGGTCCACTTAACAGAACTAAGAACTAACAGAACTGCTACAACATTGCAACTGTTGACCATTCTGAGCAGGAGCTTTCATCTTATATACAGCTAGTTTAAGTTGACACTGTTTTTCTTGAAAAAGTACTTCGCCGATGTCATAATGTGAGGCATAAGTTTTGCACTGTAACTATTAACTGGCTTCTTTTTTACACAATGCATAATTTAAGACTTTAAAGTCTTTTTCACAGTTTAACTTGTTGAGTTGGTTGTTTTTGGCTATTGTTCTGACTAAAAAAAAATGGAAGCCCTGATTAAACATCTACTGTATCCTTCTTTTTTTTTTTTTTTGCAATATCTCCAACCAACATTCTTAAACAAAGGTATGTCTAGATGAAATCAAACTAACATGCAGTCAGCAGATTGAGGAACCTAACATTATGGTAATGGCTGTGAGGCCATGTCCAAGTGGCAGACTTTCATGCAGCAATGTAAAGGCAGAAAAATAAAAATGAGTAATATACTAATTATAAAATGACATAAATACCTAAATACATAAATTGTGTAAAGTTATCAAAAGTCAATCACCTTTTCTTCACCGTATAATTTACACAAACAGCAGATTAAAGTTACTAAGTTAGTTATTTATGCAGCGAATCTCATTTTCTCATTCTGATTTTTTGAGTAACATTAAATAACAGAGGTGAGACTTTAAGACCGAATGCATAGACTTTCTACATTTTTACATATTATGAATGTGTATAGCCTATAGACAGTCATGGGAAAAAGATTCAATCAAACACAGCTGATCCAAACAATTGAGTTGTTCAAAAGAGCTATGTTTAATTAGGGTTGAAACAAAACTGTGCAGAGCTGCAACCCTTGAGGAATTGACCTATGTTAGAGCTATAGTTAAACTAATTAACGTCACTAAAAAAGCGTGCTGTTTTCTCGTTGACGTATTTGTTCTTATTCGCTCGCCGTAGTAGTAACGAAATGGAGATCCCGCCCATCTTCAGTGGTCGCGTCCCAATACATCCTCGTATTACACGCACTTAAGTGCTAAATGATGGCTTCGCTATTTCACTTTAGCCTACTATGCGTAGATGTGGATCAGGACTGGACGAGGGCATAAGCTTGTCGTGACACATTTTAGACAGACTCACGGAAACTCTAAACACGCTCAAATAATTTGGCGGTTAGAAGGAAGTTGCTGTGCCCACACATTGTAAATATTTTAACAAGTCACGTTAGGCTTAAGTTAATTTATAGCTCGCATACAGGTCAAATCTAATTTCGAACACTATGCTTTGAATGGGTTATAGAGTTATCTGTTGCTCAATCTTGACGCTTTTAACGTTAGCCTGCTAACGTTACTGTGTTTAGCGAAATGTCTAAACTTAAGAAAACAGATGGTAAATACCTGTGGTGGTGTCTCTTGTGCCTCAAATTCAAACCGGATAACGTTTCCGTCACCAAAACAACGAAACATCTGAATCTGGGAATGTAAGTCTTATCTTTATTTTCTTCACATCCGAATAGCTTCTATGTTAGCCCGTGTTATCCAGAATGTAGTTTAGTTCTTGTGACTATTATGTATAATTGACCTAATTAATCTTAGTTTTCTTTAATTTTATCAGCAGGACTTTTAACTTCGGTAAAAGGTTGTTTATAGATCTTTAATATTTCTTGAGTTACAGCCACAAACATTGATTATAATTTTTCCATCACTTAACGTTAGTGTGATCTATGTAAATATTTTAATAGAATAAACGAGATATATCTCTAGTTTCAACATAATTTGTTGTTCAGACATTTCTCTTTAACGTTAGTAGGAAAAAATATATTAACAACTATATGCAAGTTGCCCTTCATTTGGTTTTTGAAGGGTACAATTTGACAGTTTATTCGTGGGGCCATATTGACAAAGACATACCGATAGAAATAGAAAAGATAAGGCTCTAAAGTTGTATGCAAAAAAGGACATGTTTGTTTAGAAACAGAATTCAAAAGGAAATTGAGATATTTTAATGCATCAGAGTATGACTTCAAAACAACATTTGCAAAGAAGAACATTTTTCTCAAATTATATCAAGAAGTTTAATGTTTGAATAAAACCAAAATTTTTGTATCTATCTATCTATCTATCTATCTGTCTGTCTGTCTGTCTGTCTGTCTGTCTGTCTGTCTGTCTGTCTGTCTGTGTAAATAAAACTATATGCATGTTATTATATTTTTTTATAGGAACATGTTTGACAAACCAAACAAAGAGGCATTCTACATTGTCATTCACTTTTTATTTAATAAACTGAATCCCACTCGTGCCCAAGACGTCTTCAGGTAGAACTATATAGTCATATTTAAATGTTTCCTTCTTATTCTGTTGTAATTTGACATTCCAAATTTAAAAATATTTTTGTTTGCTTAGAAATTGCTGGCTAGTTTGGGATCATAAAAGTGATGCTGAGTTTCGCAAGGTGGCTTTTGCATGGCTCCAGGAGATAGCGGTATGTGGTGTTTTATATACAATATTCTGTTACTAGTCTGCCTGTTGCATTGCTAGAGAATCTTTACAGACA